TTCTTAATGAGCCCATGTGTTGAGATGTAATTCTGTGATTTACTCAAATGTAAGGTTTTATCCTATATAACATTAATAATCTGCTAGACGTTGCACATCAGTAAATGTCTGTTGTGCTGCTCTTTGCTACCATTCTATCCCGTATACATTTTATGTTTATAGCTGCAAAGGAAGTGGTTTGTTTATATTAGAAAAACAATTTATCATTTAACAATGTATCATAATACAAATAATAATAAACTGATGTATGGTGCCATGAACTGTGTTATGGAATCATTCCTTTTTAACAACATTAATGTATAAAATAATAGCACAATATGATTAATCACTCCACTGAAAGTTGATAAAGGATTATTCTGAATTACACCCACATATAAATTATACATTAGGTGAAGTGAGCCCAGGACACAGGTGTAATAATTAGACTAGAAAAGGTTGTCCATTAGACTGTTTAGAGAATATCCCCTGACCAGTTTGTTACTAGTGGAGCAATGAAAGGAAACAATTTGAGCTCCATACATACTTCCATTCTTAACATTTTCTGTTTTTGCACACCATTGTTTGCAATAAACAACAGACCCAGCAAATAAGGGGCCTTAGTTAGTGGAACCTCATCACCATGGAGGACATTGTTTCCTTGTTATAGAAGTTAAGTAATTTCCTGTACAACAAAACAAACCATCAAACAAACGCTGGTAATCATCACACAATGTCAAGAACCGTGATGGTATTTTAGCTGCAGTTTACCAAACAATTCAAACATCTTATCATTGTCTTTAATTTCAACAGAGACAAACAGAGTATTCTGGTATTTGGACTGGCAGTGTATTTTATCTCCAGGCAGGTATTTCAAGAAGTTTTTAACCGCCCTGATCTGGCGAGCACAGATGGCGTGGTTCCATAATGGCGCGGGATCGGATTGACTGTACAAACAGCTCAGACAGGTTTAGCTAGATGATATCCTGTAACCGTTCTACCTAACAGTCAGCCATCTTGTTGTTAGCCAATTAATGGCTCATTACCTGTTTAGCCAAAGCTGTGCCGCCTCAGGTTACAAGGCCACCAAACCTGCACTTCACCCGCTGGCTCAAATCTGATTACTTTCAGCTAATTGGCACAGATCCGGTGGTTTATTTTTTTGCTTTTAAGTAAGAAGGGTTGAGTTTCATGGGCAGTGAAAGAGAAGGCATTGAAGAAGAAACACTGATCATCTTTCAGGTTTTGACAATTAAAGCATAAAGGGGTTTTTGTTTGTTTTTGGAGCTCATTATTATCCGTTGATATGTTATATTTTTATCAGGAATGTCAGGGCAGTGTCGGTGCATGAGGCTGTGAGGATTTGAATGCGGTCTCTCTATGAATGCAGTCTATTGTTGTTTGTTTTTTTCTTTTTATTCTGGTAGTGTTGATAGAAAAGCTACACAATCTGTGGTTGGATATATATTTCTTTGTTTTGTGAATGTGGGTGCGCAGTACTAATGCACACACTCTTGCTTAGCTGTATGTTTGCAAAGACTTACTGTATATTTATGTGTGTGCACAAATGCAGGTTAGTGTATCCTGTGTGTGTGTGTGTGTGTGTTTTCAAGGACGACTGGGACTTTTTTCTCTCTGATCCGCCAGTTCTTGTATCTCTCTGCTCACTTAAAATGTTTGTTCTTCTTGCCAAACACAGGCCCATTAATAGTGTATGAATAATAAAAAAACCAAATAGAGAGCAAAACAGCAACAAACCACCAAACAGCCATGTGTAAATTTATTTAATATTCTCTGTGCTTTTAGCCCAAGCTACTCGGCCTGTGCACTGTCTACTCATATCATGACAGCCAAGATTAATCTGGCTTTTTAAAAACATACATCACTGAGCAGTGTATGCAAAACAACTTTTGGTTGCACACTGTAGGTAAGTATATAGAGAGTGTTTTATTTCAACATTTTTTAAAGTGCTGTATCTTTATTTTGACTGTATTATAATACAAAACGGAGAAACAATGAACATACAACAATGTTTAACCTAAAGGAAGCAAATGCCCATTTTGCACGCCGTCTTTTGATCCCGGTTCGCACACGGCTAACTTGGTGCTCAGACTGATGTGTTTCATACTGTATAAAAATATTCCCATGAGAATTTACAGTAGGCCTGAAGTGGAACTGGACGAACGTGAGCCGCACAAACTCAGAGCTAATCAATGTGTTAGTGTTTAAGTGTGAGATAGGGAATGGCTTTGTCCAGAGGCCTTTCACATGGTAAGTGAGGCTAATCTCTTAGTATTACTACAGCCAAACCAACCATTTCTAATGGCAGACAGTGGGCTTTTGAAAACCATTGAAAGCTGGGTGGTGTGATAGACTCGAGGGAAATTTCTTGGCAAGTGCTGAAATTCAGCTGCTCTTTTATTCTCATAACACACACAAATGTCTTTATCTTTTTCAATCAAAAACACACATTACCCCTACCTCTCTGAAACACACACACACTCTCAGGGTATGGGGCCAGGTGGTGTGGTTAGTGCCAGATCTCGCTCTCTGCTCTCCTGAGTGCAATTGGTAACCTGAGCTGCCTGTTTGAATAACTCAGTTATCCCAAAAGCTTCCTCGCTGCAGAGACATCATGGAACAGTGCCCAAAACACACTTTGTCTACGCTCCTGATATTTACTGACTGCTTGATGAATATTGAAATTCAGCTTTCAAAGTCACTTTCAGTGTCTTGACACTGCATATCATAAGAAAAGAGTAGGAATTAAAAGTTGGCTGGATAGCCTTACGGGCGCAGCTTTGTATCCAAAATCTGTCATCAGAGTGTCACTCAATGTAAGTTAGTCAGTGTGAATGTGTAAGCTGATGGGACGCGACAGGCCGCCCCCGGGCCTCCTCATTTAATTAGGAGCGTGCCTTGTTTTGTGAAAGTCACAACCAAACCTTCCATCATCACGCAAAGTGTTTTCTATTTTAAACACCGTTCACTGTAAAGTTTAGATGTTTTCTGCTTTAGATGTCACCTGCAGGTCTCCACCACACTGAAGCTGAACTGTCTCAGAGGTTTCCTCACTATCAGTGTCACTCAGTTGTCCTGCAAATATTTGTTTTGTCAGCCCCTCCCAGACAAACCCTACAATACTTTTCCTGTGCTCTTCAAATTCTATTGTATGTATTTTAATGACAATGACAATTGCTGTTGCTACATTAACAATGTTTATTATTCTGTTTCTATTTATTCTTTTGTGTTTGGCCCCAAAGTAGAGTTGAGTAGTAACTGAATTATTTGTACTTCACTGTACTTATATCTCTCTTCTTTGAGTATTTCTACTAAATTATATGTTTCAGCAGTACTGGAAACAGCCAAATACTACTTTCTATTATTATTTTAAAGGTTTATTCCAAATACTACTTTGTCCAAGCACTTATATATAGAGTTGCATGTTGGGCAATGTGTGTAATTAGCTCATTATACTCAGGTGAAATACATATGGAATCATATGAAAGCCTTTGGAGTCACTAGATCTCAACCACATATTTGAAAGGTTGGAGAGAGACAAAACAGGGATGACTCTGGGGGCAGATTCAAATATCTTTTTTTAATTTCCATATAAACAACAAGCAACAAGCAACCACTAAAAGGCCTCAATGACTCCTGAGAGAGAACGAAAGAGAGAGAACGAGAGTCAAGGAAACCAAATGGAAATATCTATTAGATAGCACAGCTGAAGGTAGACACGAAGTGGGGGGGTACAGAGAGGGGGAATGACACAAAGCAAAGGGCCACAGGTCAGATTGGAGCTCATGGTCGCAGCAGCAGGGGCTCAGCCTTGGTACACAGGCGCCAGCACTAACAGGTGAACATACAGGCACCCCAGAAATAACATTATTAAGAACATAAAGATTATTTAAACTTGAGTATTAAGCCAGCATTTACACGGAAGACTGTAATCTGCTGATTTAATGTAGTTCATCATATTGACTTAATTATCAGTCAATAGGTGAACAATTAATATAAGACAGGCAGCCTTCAGACAAGACCCCTTCTTCAGCATACATTCACAATCAATATGCTGTACACAGGTGGGATTCTGATGACCGCAACCACCTGCATAACTAACCCCGCCAGTGTTTGTTGTGAGAGTGGCAGAATACACGCTGATGATTGAACAAATAAACCAACGTTAATGTTAGGCTAACAGTTGCAGCCAGCTATCATAAGCTAATATTTTTGTTTGTTGGTTGATTGTTTGTAGTGCCTTTATCATGGTTAGCTGCTCACTACTAAACTTTGCTTTCCAGTTGGAGGCACCAGGATTGTTTTTAATGTTGAACAAATTACATTCAGTAACTTTACTCACACT